TACACCAAATACACAAAATAATGATCTTTAAAAAAGCATCATATGACCCCTTTAAACGATTTGGCACAAGGACCACTAAAATGTGTGCCATTTCCCCTTTAAGTACAATATCTGGAAAAAAAAAAGTCTTCTGATTTAGTTAGGAAACATCTTGGGGATTTCAAAATGGTTTAAGATTTTGATTTATTGTTTTGGCTTCATATGGAAATATGATACACAATTCAAAATTGCAAAAAGTGTCCCACATTACACTAATCCACCATACCTGTGTTTCCGAGGCAAATTTCTTTAAAGAGTCACCCTTTCCACTTTCACATTAAAACAGCAGACTGTTATTACTCATATCTGCGTAAATTACCTCCGTAAACTAACTTCTACTTTCACTTTGTGATGTTGTCTCAACTGGGTGTTTATTTAATTACTTTGTTTTCTTATGGCTTGGGGAGAAATAAAATCTCTGTATTTATGTAGAAAAGCTGTTAGAACTGATTAAGAAAAGCTACAGTTTATGACATGAAGTGTACAGCAGGAAGAAAGAGAGATTGACCGCTTACCCCAGTTGCCTAAAGACAACTTGTCAATGGTAACATTAAATACACAATTACATTAGCAATTATTGATGCTAGTATATTTTAAGTTATTTACATATAGCATGCAGTGTGTTCTACAGCTGAAGTGTTTTTGGAGGGAGTGTAATGGTCCCCCTTAAACTTTTTTCCGAGGGCAACTTCCCTTCCCTTAAAATTAACCATGGTTTTACTACAAATAAAACCAAAAACATGGTTTCAATAGTTAAACCATGGTAACCACAAATTAACCATGGTTTTGCTACACTAACCGTACTTTAACCATGTTATTTGTAGTAAAACTGAATACAAATGGTAATCAAAACGCCAAAAAACGTGGTTATTACACCTTTACAATAATAAAACCATGGTTAGTTTCCGCAAGGTACTACATGTTTTTCTTAATTAGCACATTTGAATAATAGGATAAAATTTGTTTACCAACCTAGAGTTTGTAGTAGTAGCTATGTATATTGATTTCGTAAACGCTTCGATACATAATGTTAGCAACGCAACGCAAGGTTTGTTACTTACAGTCAGTAGCCAAACGATGATTCAGTTCAGCAAAGCTAGATGTTTTCACAACATTACTATATATTTAATCTCGAAACTTACATTTCTGTCGGATCAGCCTCTGTTTTGTTCATTGTTCTTTCAAGTCCAAGGTTACTAGACGGAGAAAACGAAACTACTTTCCAACTCCTTATTTTCCAATTCCTCCAGCTGGAGTGTCTCATGTATTTAAAGAAACAGAGTGAATTTAGATAGATGTGTTGAAAACTACCGGTACTGCGCGAACTTCCTGTTTATTAATCGAACACTAGAATAGAATAGAATAGAATAGAATATTGATGAATGAAACGTGATATTAGTCAGAAATAAACACCATTTATTTATCCATCTGTATTATTTAAATATAGGCTATTTGATTTCGCATAATAATAATAATAATAATAATAATAATAATAATAATAATAAGACAACGAAGTGTTTTTGGAGGAATGTGTGTTAGGCCTATAAAAATTAAATAATGTACTTTTTGGTATATATTATTATTATTATTATTATGTACATTTGTGTTTATGTACATTGTTGATTAATACAACGTTTTCATATGTTATCATTTTTACTGTTATATTGTGTTACAATTATATAATGTTTGTTACTGGCTTATGTTAAATTATTCTTATTTTCCATAAAAGCAGAGGGTAAATATTTATTAGCATCTTGACATTATTAGCCTTATAGGACTATTATAGGATATAGGATATTCATATATATTCAGGACAACTTGACTGTTGACTAGACTGTTTATTTTATTTTATTTTATTTCACAAATACAGCAAATCCTTATGAAACATGAATAAAATGCTGTCAATTGCATTTTAAAACAAACATCATTAACCAGACAAAAATCAACATATTACTTCCATTAAATTGAAAAGTAAATTAAGACCTTTTTATTCCAATGTGATGGAAAAATAATAACCATGTGCCCATTTGAACAGCCTCTTCTTCCTCTGACCTTTGACCTTGAACTTTTTGTATTTTCAGAATACTATTTTTTTAAATGAATAACACCAATGACGAGATAAAAGAACAAACATCATTATTATATTATTGTTATTGTAATACTTCTTTACATTATTTACTTTGTTTTGCTTTGCAGTAATGCATAACATAGGAAAAACAAAAAATGAAATGTAAAACTATAATTGTGTAGAAATGTGTCAAATGATGTAGAGTCAAACATTTAATATTATTTCATAAAATTATAGAAGGCTGCCTTTTATACAGGGTTTCTGTTACATTTAAAATATTTTGAATGACTGAATGTCAGTGGACATGATTGTCACCATATTTTGAGAATGACTTAATCTACGTTATGTAGTATATAACAGCATGAACAATAAAATCTTAATTGAAAAAATGATGGAAAGTCATGACAGCACATAGAAAGTAAGGCATTTCAGAACGCGTGTAAAGATCCAGCCGTGACTTCATTCACCTATTTAGAGCACGCCTGAAGGCTCTGACTAATGTACTCAAAGTGAACAACACCGTGATCACAATTCAGTGACATCTCTCCCCCCCTTTCAAGTAACTGACAGCTGGTCAACCAGTCAGCTGACCGGCAACAGCTAAAGAGGGGTGGAACTCTGCACCCACTGACATGTACTCAGTCAGAGAACAGATCTAAGTTTAACAGAGGAAAGAGACTGAGACACAAGTGGGGACAAGGGACCGTCTGGGACACCTTGCTTTCCAGTTCTGACTATTTGTACAAGTTGTTTTTATTTTTCTCTGGAGTTGCTGGCTTAATTTGATAAAACTATGAATGTTCAAAAGTGTGCCAGGTGTGGGTTTGTGGTGTACCCAGCGGAGAAGATCAATCTTATTGGTCAGGTAAGACTTTTCGGCATATGTCTCAAAGATCTTACATATTAACATGATAGTACATAGATAATCATAAAGTGTCAATGTATTTTTCGGTTAAGTCTAACCATGTTTTCTATGATGTAAGAAAGACAGTTTTCAGGAGAAGGAATTGGATTCAGTTATTTTTAAAATGCACATTTTCATTTTCTCACTCTGCATGTATGTGTCTCTTTTCTCTTTCAGAATTGGCACAAAGCATGTTTTCACTGTGAGGTCTGTAAGATGGTTCTGACTGCCAATAATTTTGTCAGCCATCAGAAAAGGCCGTACTGCCAAGTGTAAGTTTTGGAGTCATTTTTATGCTTAAATATAATTTTTTAGTAAAAATGAAGGCTCCGTGTTTTAATAAATCAGCATTATTTTCTATTGCTTCATGACTGAAGGCGTAATTTGTACTTACTGCATAGTTTGACCATTAAATGTGTTAAAAAATAAATTATTTCTCTTATATCTAATAGGCATAATCCAAAGAACAATACTTTCACAAGTGTTTACGAGACCCCTGTCAACATCAATGCCAAGAAGCAATCTGAAGCAGCCAGTGAGGTGAGGTTTTGTTTACGTCACAGACTTACTGTACATCTGAGTACTATAGTAAATGAACTAAGTACATCTTTTTTTGTAGCTGAGGCTATAAAAAACAATAACTGTATAAAAATTCAAGTCATGTTTTGATTTTCTGTAACAGTATTTGATGTAGTATTTACAAGTGTGAAGTTCTGAGGTAATGCTGTTAATCTGAGGTGTTTTCATATAGGATATAATGAATATTAAGTAAGGCGTAATGTACAGTCAGCTGATCATTACTGGAAAATAAACTCCTCCAGGGTAACTTACTTTGTGATTATGACCAGTTGACTGTACATTACACCACTTTAAGTACATGGCTTCTTACCAAATAAATAAATATATAATATAATAAAACGTTTTTTTTTTTTTACCCCCTATATTATATGAGCTGGGTTGAAGGTCTGTTTTTAGGAGAGCTCAAAGGCCCTGGTGACTCTACAGGTTTGGAATGAGAACTGCATCTCTCCAGTTATTTCTGTGGTGTGACATGACACTCTTCTCTGGCCTTCTTTATGTATTTGCTGTTTAAATTTATACCACATGAACATGGCCCACCTCTCTTCCTTTCTTGCTTCCTTTCCCTCTCTCTCCTTCTCTGAATCTCGCTCTGTGGGATCCCAGCTGCCCCTGTCTGTCAGTGGGCTCTAGAGCGGTCTTCATACAGACTGACAGAATGCAGAACACCACACTTACATTTCATTTCTTCCCTGAAAAGTTACATGAAGACAGTGTGGAAAAACAGCACTCACTAGCATCACTGATGTTGCATATGACTTTTTACAGTATGTGATATTCCATCATTCTTCATACATCAGGAATTACAGAAAGGGGATTTCAGAATCAATCATTACCACATTTATTGTGCTAATAGGAAGCACGCTAACATTTCTCTCCTTCTATCTCTCTGGTTTCTAGAATAAATATAGAGAAGAAGGGGAGCGTTTCATGTCCACTTTCCACTATGACATGAGATCAAAAGAAATCAAGCAAGCTCGTGAGGCCAGCCAGCTTGCCAGTCAGGTGAGTAGCCAAAGGAAGCAGTACCATAAATCCATTACGTTTAGCTGTGGGCTATATTTTAACATGTGACCGTTTTTTAATCTTTCTAAAAGCAGCAAGGTTGCCAAACTGAATTTGTGGGCCAACAGTCATTTTATTCGGGCAGCGTTACCAGCCAGGAACATGTACGTGTGACCCAGGCACAGAAGACCATTAGCGACGTGAGTTATCAGATTCAGACTCAATGGGCAAATGAAAAATGAGGCTCTTGCTTTTTTGCTGCACCTATAATTGGATAAATTATGATGATGAATTACAAAGAGTGGTAATTTGGGCTGCAGGTGGAATACACTGTGTGCACAATTATTAGGCAAGTTGTATTTTTGAGGATTAATTTAGTTATTGTACAACTACAGTGCTCTTGGTCAATCCAAAATGTTAACAAACCCTCAAACCTTAACATTTAAGTAGTAAAAGTGAAGTTTTGGCGTTCTTAAGAGAATATCTACATGTACACCATTATTAGGCAACTATTAGTGTGCAGAATTATTATGCAACTAAATGAAAAGCAAAGATCTCACTTGTTTATTTTCACCTGTTAAAGTGAGAATAATAAACAAACTCAATTTACAAATAAACATTTCTGAAATTTCAAAAAGAAAACCTCAGTGACCAATATAGCCACCCTTCTTTTCGATAACAGTCACAAGCCTTCCATTCACGGAGTCAGTCAGTTTCTTGATCTGGTCAGAATCAACTTTGTGTGCAGCCGCAACCACAGCCTCCCAGACACTGTTCAGAGAGGTGTACTGTTTACCTTCACTGTAAATTTCCTGCTTAAGAAGGGCCCAAAAGTTCTCAATAGGGTTTAAGTCAGGTGAAGAAGGGGGCCATGTCATTAGTTTTTCATCTTTAAGGCCTTTACTGGCCAGCCACGCAGTGGAGTACTTTGATGCATGTGATGGAGCGTTGTCTTGCATAAAAATCAAAGTCTTCTTGAAAGATGCAGACTTTTTCCTGTACCACTGCTTGAAGAAAGTGTCTTCTAAAAATTGGCAGTAGGTCTGAGAGTTGATTTTGAGTCCATTTTCAACCCGAAAAGGTCCAACTAGCTCATCTTTAATAATACCTGCCCATACCAGTACCCCACCTCCACCTTGCTGGCGTCTGAGTCGAAGTGGAGCTCTGTGTCCGTTACTGATCCAACCACGGGCCCATCCATCTGGGCCGTCAAGAGTCACTCTCATCTCATCGGTCCACAAAACCTTTGAAAAATCTGTCTTCAGATATTTCTTGGCCCATTCTTTACGTTTCAACTTATGTGTCTTGTTCAGAGGTGGTCAGGTTTCAGCCTTTCTTACCTTGGCCATGTCTCTGAGAACTGAACACCTCCTACTTCTTGACACTCCAGGTAGGTTGCAGTTGTGGAATATGGCAGCACTGGAGGATAATGGGTTCCTGGTAGCTTCATGTTTGATTCTTCTCAAATCTTTGGCGGTTAATTTGCGTCTTTTCTTCTCGACACGTTTCTTGCGACCCTGTTGACTATTTGCTACAAAACGTTTGATGGTTCTGTGATCACGCCCCAATATCTTAGATATTTCAAGAGTGCTGCATCCCTGTGAAAGACTTTTTACAATTTTTGACTTTTCAGAGTCAGTTAAATCTCTTTTTTGGCCCATTTTTCCTGAGGAGAAGAATCTGCCTAATAATTATG